TCATCGCCCCCCCCAGCAGGGAAAGGTGTCCCTCCTCCCCTTCCCGGGCAGGGTCCGGCGGGCAGCGCGGGGGGAAGACGGAGCATCTCGGTGAAACGCTCGCAGGGAAGGGCTGAGTTAACATAAAACGCAACGAATCCCTTCTGCGAGCGCCTCGCACCTTCCCCTGCTCGCTCGGGAAGGGCTGGTGCTGCTTTGCTAATAGGAAAACAGCACCGAATTGATTCCTGTGCCGGATGGGTGCTGCAGTCGGTCGGTGCCTCTCCGGGTGGTGCCGTGCAAAGCTGCGGAAGTTGCTGCTTAGAGCTCATTAGGAAAGGGTGTTCTGGGGAAAAAGCTTTGAAAGAAATGGGAAATTGGAAAAAAATGGAGGGTTTTTGAAAGAGAAGTTTGCCCTTCTGCAGAGAAAGTTGGTTGTGAAAACTTCTGTGTTTTCATACTTTAAAAAGCTACCAGGGAACATTGAAAGAAATGGAGCCTCTTAATTAGATACGGCGGTTTTTCAGGACACAGGGAGAGGCTGATTTGGATAAATCTCCATAATGTTGTGCTATGAAGATGTCAGTGTGGATTTCCAGCACTGAACAGCAAAGCGTCCCCTGAGCTGAGCTCGGTCCATACATGACACGAGTTTAGCACGTTCTCAGTGAAGATTTCACCGAGCGTTTATCCATTGTACGTAGAGGAGAGGAAGCCTCTTGCCTGGGGTAGGAGGTTGGGGGCCGAGACGGGCATCTCCCAGCCCTGACCGAGCCGTGCTGTCATTTCGGGTTTCGAAGAAACCCTCCTGTTGCTGTTACCCCGGGGGTGGGCTGCCGGGGTCTTGCAGAGGGGGTCCCCCGGCCACGCCAGGCCAGCGTGGCTGACGTTTTACGCTATAATGCACTGCAGTTTCCACCTTTGCCTGTTAGAATCCAAGCCTGGGTGGTTTGGGGGAGGTTGATCACCCCCACAGTGCCTGAGCCAGTGAGCGTCCGAGGTGAGCTGGAAGGTGGTACCCCCATATCAAGCAACTGTCCTCCCGAGGCAAACCCGGCCCTTCCTCCCGCGTGACGGGTGGGCTCTGGGGCTGTGTGAGGTTGGCAGAGGGGATGGGGGGGCTCCGGTGCGGACAGGGGGGAGGTTTGAAGTGCGGTGCTGAGGATGTGTGCCTGGGCTCAGGGTTCGGGGATCACGCTCTGTGGGCTCGCAGCAGTGATCTCCCGGCGCAGATGGCGGGTAGCAAGGGGGTGCTGGCCCAGTTCGCATTGGATTTGCTTGTTGGGTGTTTGCGGGGGACCCCAAACCCCTTTTGCATAGCAGGAAATACCCGGCTTGGAGAAATCCCCTTCAGCATCGCACGATGCCTGCGGTGGGGTCTGGCTCGGAAG